GTGGCCGTAAGGGCAGGCGGAGGCGTGGCCGGAGAACACGGGGGCGTGGCCGGGGAACACGGGGGCGTGGTTAGAGACAGCGCTGACGTTCGGGGACATGGGGGCGTGGCCGGGGAACACGGGGGCGTGGTTAGAGACAGCGCTGACGTTCGGGGACATGGGGGCGTGGCCGGGGAACACGGGGGCGTGGTTAGAGGCGGGACGGCCGTTAGGGGACGCGTAGGCGTGGCTAGGAGATGTGGGGCCGTGGTTAGAGGCGGGGCGGCCGTTAGGGGAGGCGGGGGCGTGGCCAGGGAACACGGGGGCGTGGTTAGAGGCGGGGTGGCCGTTAGGGGAGGCGGGGGCGTGGCCGGGGCCGCGGGGGCGTGGCCGGGGGCGTGGCCCCGTGCTGCGGGCCGCCGTGGCGTTGGCGGGCGTGCTGTGGGCGTTGGCGGGGGGCGGGGCCTGGGTGGGCGTGGCCGGGGGCGTGGCCGGGGGGCGGGGCCTGGGTGGGCGTGGCCAGGGCCGCCGTGGCGTTGGCGGGCGTGCTGTGGGCGTTGGCGGGGGCGGGGCCTGGGTGGGCGTGGCCGGGGGCGTGGCCGGGGGCGGGGCCTGGGTGGGCGTGGCCAGGGCCGCCGTGGCGTTGGCGGGCGTGCTGTGGGCGTGTTGTGGGCGGGGCCTGGGTGGGCGTGGCCAGGGCCGCCGTGGCGTTGGCGGGCGTGCTGTGGGCGTGGCCGGGGGCGGGGCCGGGGGCGTGGCCGGGGGCGGGGCCTACCGGGTGACGGCGCCCGAGAAGATCCTGTCGATCATCCTGGTGGAGATGGCTGCGGGGCGCACACCAGGCCGCGCGTGACCCCCGACCCCGCCCCGTGACCCCCGACCCGCCCCGTGACCCCCGACCCCGCCCCGTGACCCCCGACCCCGCACTGTAACCCCCAACACCTGCACGTCCTGACCTATGACCCCGCCCCGTGACCCCCTGACCCGCCCCGTGACCCCCGACCCCGCCCCGTGACCCCTGACCCGCCCCGTGACCCCAGACCCCGCCCCGTGACCCCTGACCCGCCCCGTGACCCCAGACCCCGCCCCGTGACCCCTGACCCGCCCCGTGACCCCACACCCCGCAT